TTGTTTTCTTGCTTCATATGTTTCCCCTTCAATTTTCTGGAGCCCATACACAAAGACTGACCTCACCCTTTCATTCTCCCACTGCATATCCTTGTGTATCCCCTCATTCAATTTGATTTACTCCATTGCAGCTTTCCTTTCTTCAGTTTCACTAGCTAATGTACTTGGGCTCAGTGGCCTGTCATTTTCCCTTCTCAGCTTTCCCTGGGCTCTGCTGTGGTCTGTTAGGGCCTCCACATATAGCTTAGCTCTTTCATTTACTACAGTCTCCTCTGATAGAGCTTCTACATGTAGTTTTGCTCCTTCTTTCCCTACAGTCCCCTTATTTGTGACTGAGGTAGCAGTTTCTGATGTCAATCCCAAAATGTTCTTTAGTTCTTTAGGCTGTTTCAGATTTTTCAGTTCCTCTTCTAAACTCTGTATCCTAGCCTCTGCTGCTTTGACTTGCACCTCCCACTTCCTGCTTTCCATATCTATCCTCTCTTCCATTCTCATGCTAAGTTCTTCTAGTTTCTTTTCCCATTCATGTTCCCTTTTTATGAGCTCTGCTGCCCAATCTTCCTTTGCAGCTTCCTCCTCCTGTCCCATGGTTTTTCTTCCTGCTCTCTGGCAAACCATTTTTGTTTTATCCTGATTGCCTCAGAGTGGGAAACCTATGTAATTCTGTGTGTTAGGTTAGTAGTGTGTATGTCAGAGTGTGGGGGGGGGAAGGTAGAGGAGGAACTGTGGCTATGTGGTAGAGGAGTGGGGAGGGGGATTTAGGGGGAAATATGGGGAGTGGGAAGGAGGGAGAAGCAAGTGGGTGAGTGGGAGAGGGAGAGGGGGAAGGAGGGAGAGGTGGGGAGGGGGAGGGTGAAAGAGGGAGGGGTGGGATCAGGGGAAGGAGTGAGATGTAGGTGGGGAGGGGGGGAGTGTATGTGTGAGTCTGGATATGTGTGTGTTTTGTGTGTGTGTGTGTGTGTGTGTGTCTGTGTGTGTGTGTAATTATGTGTGGAATTATGTGTGGAATTTTGTATAGGTTTATTATGTGTCTGAAAAGTAGGTGACTTGTGCGTTGGAGTGTAATGTGGAGTCTCAGCGGTCCTTGACTGACCACAACTTCTTGTGACCAGACCCCCACCCTCCTGGGACTTGACCCGCACCTACTTACAATGTTTTCCTTTATGCTTGTCCTGCCACCTAGCTTATAGTAACTTACTCGCCTTGTTCAATGGATTACCAATTGCTATTCCTTATTGAATATTTGAGTGCCTATTCTTTATCGTGCTATGAGAGACCATTCATAATCAGCTTGGTGGTTAAGTGGAACCTGGAACTCCACACCCAAACAACCACTCATAGGTGAATACAGTACTTGCAATGCAGCTGTAGCAGCCTATAGATTGTCCAGCTCGATGTGACGTCCTGGCGTAGATCCACCTCAATTTCTTCTCGTTAATAATGTACCCTGTTCACTGTATTTCTCTCACTGGTCACACGATTTTCACTTTATTATCTTTCTTGGGTGACACGTGACAACATCGCCTTACCACCCACACTAGCCTGCCCGCTCTGACTGCGCCACCACGTTTTACTTTCTAGATCACTTACAAAATTGTGGCTCTCCCCACACTTATGTGGCTCAGGCAGATTGTAAATCACTTCTAGGATTGTTCACTACCCTAACACACTTAGCAACCCTTGCAGAACACTTGGGTTGCCCTCAAAAACACTTATATTCGCAGAGCACGGAAGGCGTGACTCGCCCGCTTGGTGTCCCTACTCTGAGCCACATTAGGTGTTTAATGCTGATGAGACAAATGTTTTTTGGAAGAAAATGGTAACAAGAACTTATATCAGTCAGCAAGGGAAAAGTGCACTGCACTTCAAGGCAGCAAAGGATCACTTCACCTTGCTTCTTTGCGGAAATGCGTCAGGTGATTTCAAGTGTAAACCCATGGCTATTTACTGCTCAAAGAATCCTTGTGCTGCTTTGAAAAGTGTAGATAAAACCACCTTACCAGTAATTTGGAGGTCAAGCCAGTCAGCATGGATGACAGAGGAAACATTTATTGACTGGTTTAACCCTTTCAGGGTCCGTCCCGTAGATCTACGGCTTTACGTTCAGGGTCCAAACCGTAGATCTACGCCATGAGCTCAGCTCACTCTGATAAACTGTGAGTGGTACATTTGGGCCTAGATATGAGAGAATACATCTATGTGGTATGTGTGCACCACATAAAACAGATCCTGCAGCACACTGTGTATAATGAGAGAAAAAAATGAAATCATGATTTTTCGATTAAAACAGCAACTTTGCAGTGTTTTTTCGTATGTTTTTTATAGTTGTATTTGCGATTTCTTGGTCTCATTTGATAGAATGGAAGACATATTACAGATATAGAGATGATTTTGATTGGTTTTAGCATTGGAAATGGCTTGAAACTGAGCTCAAAGTAGCGGAAATGTTAAATTTTTGCCGATATTCAAGAGTAAACAAACGACCTCACACATCTAATACACGTCAGCTGGTGGGTCTAATATACATTCACAAATATGGTGATGATATTTATACAATTATTACAGTATTGCATAAGAGTAAATCTTCTATTTTTTGGTGTGAATAAAAATTCATTATGTGAATAAAAAATCAAAATGGAATTTATTTGTAAAGCCTCAAAACATAACTGATGAACAGAGGAAATGTTAGTTTAGTGCCAGGAATGCCTACATTGTTCATTCTGGACCCTATTTTGAAATTGGAATATTTTGAACTTTGTGTTAAATTGGCCAAATTAACAATTTCCGATAACTTTATTTTGTAGTTGAAACAGTTGACTTGGCGATTTCTTGTGCTCAATCGATAGAATAGAAGTAATACTAGTGAAATAGCTAAGAATTTGGTTGATTGGAATAATGTAATTGGCCTAAAATGGGAGTCAAAGTCGGCAAAATAGCCGATTCGTAAATATCGCTGACACATCAAAATTCGCGAGAGCACAATTTCGTCAATTTTCCACCAAATTTCGTACTTTTTGTTTTATTACCTTCACAAAAAGATTCTCTACGATTTCATAAGAAAAAATAACAAATTTTTTTTTTTAAATTCTTGGACACTGGTGCCTGACTCCAGATTTGGGCCTTGGACCCTGAAAGGGTTAAGCATCACTTTATTCCTGAAGTTAAGTTATATCTGCACAGCAAGAATATTGCATTTAAGGCTCTCTTCATTCTTGATAATTCCTGTACTCAGTCACGAGCTTTGCTCGAAGTGACCCCACATGTAAAAGTTGTGCAGTGGAACCTCAAGTATCGAACTTTCTTCTTTCCAGACGGCTGCTCGAGTGCCGTTACCGAACGAATTTATTCCCATCAGGAATAATGTAAATTAGATTAGTTCATTTCAGACCCTTAAAAATACACTTATAAAAGCACTTACAAAAATACACTTACATAATTGGTCAAGTTGGGAGCAGTTCGATATTTGAGGTTCCACTGTATTTTTACCTCCAAATACATCTTTTATACAACCACTGGTTTGGGGAGTTATTAGGTCATTCAAGTGTAACTACACAAAATAAGGTATGAAAAAACTAGTTGCATCAATGGACTCTGACTCCAACCTGGCAGTACCAAGTTTTTGGAATAAATTTAATATTGCAGATGTCATTTGCTATGCTAGAAGTGCACGGAATGAGGTGACCCAATCAACATTAAATGCAGGCTGGGAAAAGTTATGGCCTTCAGGAAGTTGTTCAGCTAGCAAGGAGATTACCAGGTGATGGTTTTGAAGATATGAATGAAGAAAATGTGAACAAGCTCTTAGAAGATGATGATGGTGAAGACAGGAGTCCAGAGGAAATGTTGGCAGAGCTTGATGCACGAGATACAAGGGAGCCACATAACAAAAGAAGATGAAGAAGAACCTGAAGAAAAACAGTTAACACTGCAGCAGTTATGTGAGCAGTTCTGTATTATTGGTAAAGTTGCAGACTTTTTCACTGAAGAGGAACCTGACAAATCTAGAAACAGTGCTTTGAAATGTAGTCTAGACCAGCTGATGATGCCATACCGTCAGCTGTATAATGTACTCCAGGGTAAAAGAGCCCAGAGATCTATTTATGCACACTCCAATGCATCCATCGACTTTAGTACCAGAACCTCTACCATCCACTTATGCCAACAACCAACAACCATACACCTCAGCCCAGTAGGGCCAAACCATGCATCTCCACTCTCTTCACAGTCATCCACAAACACCAGCTTTGTAGTCTTAAGCAGTAAAAACACAATACTATATGATGACAGTGAACTACAATTACATATTCACTTTTATTTTTGTAAGATCTGTTGGTCTTAAAAAAAGTTGTTTGGCTTTTTGAGGGCTCCCATGAACGTAACCCTATTTTTCCCATAAGTTCTTCAGTTTATCTAACACAGTTTTACCTAACATGGCGTTCTCAGGAATGTAACTACTGTGTAATATAACATTCTACTGTATTTATACTTTTAGAGTCCCTCAAAAAATAGAGTAGTCTTATATTTGAGATATATGAAAAATTTATAATTTTTTGGGTAAAAAATTCAAAAGTTGACCTATACTTGCCTTTGGGTGATACTGAAACAGTGTAGAGACCTTAAGAGTGGGTTTATGACTGACACTATTGTGCATAATAATTCAGCTGTATTCTGTCACATTAACTGGACTGTATGTACTATATTTTTGTTTATGACTGTGATCAACTTAGAGCAGATGCTGTAGAAGTAGGAAGTACTACATTACCTGCACTCTTTTGGAAGGGTGGGGATTTTGCAGTTTGAAGGGTCATTTGAATTGTAATGTCCACACCTGGAAAGACAGCTATCGAATAATAAGTGATTGTGAATATGTTACCTTTTTTGGCTCACCCTTTCTCAGTAGGAGACAGTGTGTGTGTTTATTTTTTTTTTTTATTTCATAATGTCGTGTATTGCATAATTTATTAACACCATTTAAGAATTATTTCCTTATATTACAACAG